CTCAAGTCTGTGTCCTTTTTTCTACCTTCCACTTATGCTGATTTAGTTCAGGCCTTACTTACCTGCATTCTCTCTAAAACCTGCCAGCTAGTCTCCCAGGCTCTCCTTTCACCCCATCTGTCCTCACTGCTGCCAGGGTGCTCTTTGCAAGAGAATCATGACCACTTCACTCTTTAAAACTAGCCTGTTGGCTCACGCACACAGGCCTGCAGCAGTTGGTCTCTGCTGACTTTCCATGCCTTTCCCTGTGTTGCCCTTGTGTCCCTAACTGCCACGCTCACACACACGAGGCTGTTTCTCATCGTGTTTGTGTTGCTCCCTCTGCCTCGGATTTTCTCCACCGTCTTCCCTCACCAGTTCACTTCTGCTTGCCCTTCAGACTGAACCAGGCCTCACTTACCTCCACCCTGACCACCGTTCCCAGGCTGGATCAGGTGTCACTTGCTACCCCGAGGCATACCTTTGTCATCAGACAACTGTTGTTTCTTCAGCTGGACTGTCATCCCTGCCCCAGCAGAGGTCTAGCAGGCCCATGATGAATGTTTGTTGAATGAATGAATGGCTCCCTCACTTGGCTGTGAACTCCTTGAGAGCAGGACTGGCTACACAGTTTCCAAGTGCTGTATTAAAATAAATGGCATTCAAATGCACAGGAGGGATACTTAACCAAACCTGGGAAACCGAGACTTCCCAGAGGAGAGGAAGTTATTTAGGAAGAAGGAATGGGGAGATTGAAGACATTTCAGGCAAGAACAACAGAAGCTGAGGGAGACATCACTGATGGTCATTTGGTTGGAACTTGAGGTCCAGGAGGGACAATGGCTGCAGAGAGAGGGCTTTCACCCCTGGCTTCACTGGTTGACCCAGTAAATATTCATTCACACCTATAGGGTGCCTGGCCCTGGGCTTAACCCCAAAGGTAGGAAATGAACCAGACAACCCTTACTATTGAGTTTAGGGTACCTCTGGGCTAGTGGAAGCCTTTGAGGGGCTTAAAAATGGATGGGTGACCTGCTCAGATGTATATTCTAGAACAGTGCTTCTTAAGTTATCCATGGTAAAGGATATTTAAAAATAGATAGACAAAATACAAGTCCGCCTTCCTCTCTGTCAGATTCAGCTGTGCGTGACTACTGTAAAATTGTTACAAAGGCTTCTAAGTGCCTACTCTCAATTTTCTTACTTACCATACATCAGGGATAACAGTGTGCAGGCAGCACTGGCCTGTAGCTGTCCTTTGAGTAGCACTGTTTAGAGATCTATCTTAGCTACAGATGGCGAATTGCTTGGGGGAGGACTGAATGGAGCAGGGACCAGGGGAGGGCTGTTTCTCTGATCCAGGAAAACGGTAGTGGTAATCTTGATTGGGATGTCACAGTGGTAGAGTTTCCAGAGGTAAAAGCCACAGATTTGTGTGTGGGGTGAGGGGTGTTAAGGGTAAAGGTCGGAATTAAGATGCCTCCTCGGTTTCTGGCTTGGGCTGATGGTGATTGTGACTGAGATCTGGACAGGAGGAGATGTAACTTTGAGGGAGGGTGCCGGGCTCAGTACTGAACATATTTTTATTTTTTTTAATTGAGGTGTAATTGATATATAGCATTAGTTTAAGTACAACATAATGATTCAATATTTGTATATACTGCAAAATGATTACCACAATGAGTCTTATTAACATTGGTCACTTGAACATCTTAAGTTGTATGTGAACCACAGATGTTCAAGAGGCAGCTGGAATTAGGGTCTTGAGAGCAGGTTCAGAGCCCTGTGATTTTTGATAAACTTCGCTGGTCCAATCTGGCATTGACTTTTTCTCCGGGTCCCTGACTGGCAGACTCAGCTGGTGTGTTGCTCATCCCTGAGGGAGGTCTAGGGGACGCACAGGCTGGGGTGCATATGTTGGAAGTAGGATTCAGGTGCCTTTTCTATAGAGCTGTGGGAGCTGCACGTCTCACTGCCACCACTGGGTGGCAGGCGTGCTTCAGACAAGTGTCCATGGGCTAGAGGAGTGGGCCTTGTTCCAGATTTAGCCACCTGCCCCCTCCATATTTGACCTTTGGCTTCCACTGAAGTGCTTGTCTTGTGGGCCTGTCACCTTAACCAAGTGGGCAGGAGCATGTGTGCGGTTACTGGGGCTGTGGAGCCGAAGGCACGGTGAAATGACTCCTGGAGTGGACACAGAGGCAGATGCCCAGCCTCTGATCAAGCAGTTTCTTTCCTCCCTCTGGAAGCCATCTCCAGGCTGCCCGGGCAAGGCCCAGGCAGAGGATTTGCTTTTGTCTAGCCCGGGGATTGGCAATAAACAGAAGGGCTATGGTCAAAGCAGGCTAGCGCCCACTGGACATGACACCACGTGGGCATGCCCCAACTCTGCCCCTCTGTGCCCTTAGACGGTGCAGGTGCCCGTGTATTCAGAGCAGGAGTACCAGCTCTATCTTCATGACGACGCTTGGACTAAGGCAGAAACCGATCACCTCTTCGATCTCAGCCGCCGCTTTGATCTTCGTTTTGTAGTTATCCACGACCGGTATGACCACCAGCAGTTCAAGGTGAGCAGGTGCTCGTTTGCATGTGTGCCTAACCCCAGGCCTAGCAGGCCCACTGCTCTCATCCGCCCCTTCCACATGCCTCTGAGTGTCCCCCGCCCCAGCCCACCCCCCGTGTCTTCTCCTCAGAAGCGTTCCGTGGAGGACTTGAAGGAACGGTACTACCACATCTGCGCTAAGCTTGCCAATGTGCGGGCTGTGCCAGGCACAGACCTTAAGATACCAGTATTCGATGCTGGGCATGAGCGACGGCGGAAGGAACAGCTGGAGCGCCTCTATAACCGGACCCCAGAGCAGGTCAGCCCTGAGCCCCCAAACTCCTCCATGCCCCCAAATCCATTGTCTCCATCCTCGATACCCTCAACTCTCTTGCCCCAAGTCCCCCTACCTCCCACTGGCTGGTACCTGTGTGCGCCCCCCTCCCAGCCCTACCCCCGCACTAGCCACCCTCCCTGCTCTGATAGTCCTTCACCTCACCGATGATCTTTTCTCAGATTCCCTAGCACCCCTTCCTCTCCGTCTACCCTCCCTCCCCAAGGACCTGCACACGGGTCTTAGCGTCTCTCTCCCAGGTGGCGGAGGAGGAGTACCTGCTACAGGAGCTGCGCAAGATCGAGGCCCGGAAGAAGGAGCGGGAGAAGCGCAGCCAGGACCTGCAGAAGCTGATCACGGCGGCAGACACCACTGCAGAGCAGCGGCGCACCGAACGCAAGGCCCCCAAGAAGAAGCTGCCCCAGAAAAAGGAGGCCGAGAAGCCGGTGTGGAGACTAAAGCAGCCCAGCCCAGGGTGGAGGGGCCGCTGGCACAGGGGATAGGGGAAGGCTCAGAGCACCCGGAGCCGGCGGGGGGCTGGGACTCACACTAGGTCCAATTCCTGTGACACTTCCCAACGCCTTCTCCCCCAGGCTGTTCCTGAGACTGCGGGCATCAAGTTCCCAGACTTCAAGTCTGCAGGCGTCACGCTGAGGAGCCAGCGGGTACGTGTGTCACTTCCTTCAATGTGTCTGGGCCCTGGGCTGGAGCGGGAGGGGGTGCCATGTGCTGCAGGTAGAGGTGGCCTCGGGGACGAGGCCAGGCTGTGGTCATAACTTCCGCTTGCTGGCTATTTCCTTTTCTGCCCCAGAGCTGCCGCCAGGGGTTAGCTTCTCTTCCACTCCCCACTGCCTTAGTCCCCTTCACTCTAAGGTGCTTGTGGGGGCGAGGGCTGAGCTGCTGGGTCATTGCAGATGAAGCTGCCCAGCTCTGTGGGACAGAAGAAGATCAAGGCCTTGGAGCAGATGCTGCTGGAGCTGGGTGTGGGTGAGTATGGAGGCCGCGGATAAAGGCAGGGCGGGTGGTCCCTGTCGCCAGCCTTCCAGCACGGCCCTGCGCCTCCCACCCTCCACCCGCAGAACTGAGCCCCACGCCCACGGAGGAGTTGGTGCACATGTTCAACGAGCTGCGGAGTGACCTGGTGCTGCTCTACGAGCTCAAGCAGGCCTGTGCCAACTGCGAGTACGAGCTTCAGATGCTGCGGCACCGGCACGAGGCGCTGGCGCGGGCCGGCGTGCTGGGGGCCCCTGCCACACCGGCATCGGGCCCGGCCCCGGCCTCTGCCGAGTCGGCGGCACCCGAGTCTGGTCTTGCCCCCGATCTCACCAAGGACACCATCATCGATGTGGTGGGTGCACCTCTCACGCCCAATTCGGTAAGAGCCCGGACAAGCCGAGGAGTGTGAACTGGCCCAGCATGTGAGCATGCTCACGTGCGCACAGGCTTGCTCCCTCTGGTGCCTGCAATGGGAACTGCCACTCGGGGGTGGAGACTGAGGGCAGGACGGGGTGGATGGCCAGTGTGAGACACATGCACCAAGCCTGAACCAGGCCCCAGGGGCTGGCCACTGATCTCGTCGTCTTCTCTGTATCCTCAGAGGAAGCGACGGGAATCGGCCTCCAGCTCCTCTTCTGTGAAGAAAGCCAAGAAGCCATGAGGGCCACGCCGGGTGTGAACGCTGCTGCTGTGTAAATAGAGTTGCTGAGTGGACTGGGCTGCCTCCGTTTCTTTCCCACCATTTCTGCCGCCCCTGGCTGGGAGGGTGGCCAGGAGGGAATCACCACACCCACTTTATGGGTGGCATTGGGGCCTGCTCGCATGGAGGTCCTCTAATCATTAAGCACTGCCCATGTTGCCCAAACACCTGTGCCTAGGAACACCTGTGGTTCCACACTCACGGTGGCTCACATGCAGCCATGGCCTCAGATTCCAGCAGCTTCAGGCAGCCTCATGCTCAGGGGCTGTGGCCCTGTACATGTTCACCGGGGGTGGGGGGGGGGGGCAGGGGGAGAAGGGCTCAGAGGCACGTCAGTGACAGCTAGCTGCACCGGTGGCCTTGAGCACAGAGCAGCCTGGAACACACTAGCTCCTACCCTTCCTGACAGCATCAGGCACAGCATATCTGGTCCACACGTTACCCAGGGCCTTATTTCCCCGACTTTATTCAGTGGCACGTTCACAGCGGGGATGGGGTGGACACGAGATCTGTCCTGGAGCCCTGGGGGCACCACACACCATGCACTACAGATGGGAGGGGGCACAGGGGGCTTGGTGGCCCCAGCAGAAGCCTGTGTACCAGGGAGAGGCAGTACGTGCCTGGGTCCCCTAGCCCAGGCCCATAATGGGAGGGGCTAATACTGGGCTGAGGTTGAGGGATGGGGATGGGGGGCCACAAAGTATCTGCTCCGGAGGGACCAAGTGGCCACGCCCTTACCCAGGGCACAGGCCCGCAGGGCAGGCTGGGGACACTCGATGCAGAGCTGTGCCACTCTCCCTTTTTCCCTCTGGCGAGGGAGAGGAGGATTCTGGGTTGGGCCAAGCAGCTACCCTGTACTGCCCCATCCCGTTCTCGGCCAATCAGAACGGCTTCGAGGTCTGCTTGAAGATGAAGCCTCGATATGCAAGTGTCTTCATGATGTTGGCAATGTTCTTGCAGTCATCTGAAAGGGAAAGGAAAGACGCTCAGATGGACCCCAGATCCCCCTCCCACACCCCCAGGTGCTCTTACGTGGGTGGGAAGCAGGGTCAGATTCGGAGCCAGACTTTAAACTAGGGGTCCCACTCCCTGTGGCAGCACCTCCAGCGTTAGGTTGGGCTGGATGATGCTGGCCGGGCAGGAAGCCTGGTCTCAATGTTTCTCGGTCCCATAATTCATGCTGGAAATTGGCCGGCGTGTCCCGCCCCGGCCCCAGTGGTGATGTATGGGCGCCGTCGCAGTAAGAAAAAGGCAGAGTAAATGTGTAATTTCTCCCTTGACGGCCCCCGGCCGCTGGGCGATCCTTCTTGTTGCCGCCGCGTGGGGACGGCCTGTCCGCCACACTCCGTCTTCCCGCCACCCGCCTTGATGTCTCCATTTCATTACTGTGCGGCCATTCATCACGCCCACGGCCAGGGTGACTTTGCCGCCACTTGCGTGTGTGTGAGACATGGCCCAGGCCATAATCACTGGTGACAAGGCACAAGCCTCGGCACTTCTGGGCCAGGGCCCTGGGAGACACCTGCCCTGGGCCCCAGGCTCATGTACTCGAACAGCAACCTGCCTGGAACTGCTCCTGTGCAGGCCTGACCAGCGGAGAGGGTGCAGGCTTTTGGTTCCCTAACGCCCTGCCCCTTAACCTTCCATTGGACACACCTGAGCCCAAGCCCTGCCTCTCCTACCCCACAGGCTCAGAGCTGGTGCCGGCAGGACTTTAGTCCTGTCTGGTGTGGCTCAGGTTAAATGTGTCTGTGTCTGCCACCCTGTCAGGCAATCTCACCAGTTTCGTTCCCCATACTCCAAGGGTCCCAGAATCCTGGTGGTCACAGGAACACATATTCTGGGGCTTTAGTATCATGGACATGGGTCAGGGTGTGTTCTGTCATCACCAGCAGGAGGTACAACTTCCCAGAGCTTGTCCCACTACTATAGTGACTAGAGAAAGCCCAGGACAGAAATGGCGGAGGGCCTGGGTTTCCTTTCCCACTGCCCAGAGCAGCCACCAACTCCTGATCCCTTCGCCAGACTCTCTTCCCACCCCTCCCGCCTCCCACAGACGCTCCAGCCCATAATCAGGGCCTCAGCTGCCACCAGCCCTGATGGGATCGATGGTTGTGATGGCAGAGGTATTGCACATTGATGTCATAATCAGGTATGGGAGGTGGTAAGGTCAAGGTGGGGTCAGGAGGCTCCACTGCTGCCAAGGACCAACCCCTTCTACTGAGTCTCAACCTGCCCTTGCCGGGACCTTAGACTAGGAGAGGGGACCCACCAGAGCTAAAAAGGCAGTAAGAAGTCTCTGGTCAGGCCTGGGCCAGTATCAGCCAGTCACCAGCTCTGCAGCCTCTGCTTAGGCCAGACTGGGCCCTGCCTTGCATGAATGTATCGATGGCAGATGTGAGCATGGAGAGGTGTGACCCAGGACCTAGTCACAGGGATACCTTGTTCCTCCAGAGACTCGAGAAGCTACAAGGACTGGTCTGAGGCAGAAGAGGGAAGACGGATGGGCGGGTAGTGGCGGCCATGGCAACTCCAGACGTGACCCATCCCCATGGTTTATGGGCCGGACACACACCCTGCTCATCAGAGGCCCTGTCATTTGTCTCCCTTAGTGTGTATGCCTGTGCGGCGGGGGTGGAGAGTGGAGGGAGGGGTTGTGACAGGAGGAGGTAGGCAGTTGAAAGGCAGAGGAATGGGGCAGGAAGGGCCATGTGGGGGTGGGATTGGGGCAGGAGGGACCCTGGGAGGGGGGAGGGTTTATGACAGGGCCTAGGGCTGTGATAACGCCATCAGAGGGACTCTGATAGGGCGATTTTCTTCCTAAGTCTGGTCTTGTCCGGCACCTCCAATCCTTCCTGTACTCTGGGGACCATAGCCGCTCTGCATATTAAGAATAAGTCCCCTCGTTATCTGCAATTACCGAGCGGCCACACACCTCATTTCTTCCAGCAGAAAAGAAAATTAGTTTTCTATTGACTTCATTTGGCTCCTCCCTCAGTGCTGGACAAATCACTCCATCTGCCTCCTCGGGCCCAAGTGGAAGTGCCAGCCCCTGCCCCCAGGCGACCGGCCATCCAGAGGGCAAGCACTGACCTCCCACCTGTGCCCGGCCCTGAGCTGGGAGAAGCCCATGTGCCCCAGCAGCTGTCCTTGACCTCTTCAGACAAGGATGCTAAAGACAAGGGAGACGAGGATTCATCCACACGAGGAACGTCAGCTCCCCGAGGATCACCGTCTGCGGCCTGGACCTCTCTCCTGAGCTCAGATAACAGACCCAAGTGCTCTGGAGCATCTCTTTCTAGATCTCCATACAAACTCCAAACGTCCAGTAATAAACTGGTTTTCCTCCACAAGCCTCTTCACCCCCCCGTGTTCTCCATCCCTGGGAAAGGACCCCCAAACGCCCAAACAAGAAACCCGAGTCAGGCCCGACACCTGCCCTTCTCCCTCACTCCCCAAATCTGCCCTTCTCCCTCACTCCCCAAATCTAATCAAGTGCGAACTGTAGACTCTCATTTTCTGTCTAATCACCTACTTCCTGTCATTCTGGCAGCCACTGCCTTGGCCAGCACATCATTTCTTGCTTCTACAGCAATAACTTGTCCTCTTTCCCCCTCAAATTCATTCTCCTGTTGCCAAAGTGATCTTTCTTACACAAACCTGGTCACCTCCTTTCCTCTTTGAAGTCCTAACCTCTATCTTCCCATGTCAAGGAACCACTTATTGTTTTCTGAAAATGACAAAGTGGGTTCTGGAGTTAGACAGACTTGTTTGAAGTCTGAACTGTGCCCACTGGGCCTCGGGTCCTCCACAAGGTGACAATGGACGCGCCTTCGGGATTAGGAGGAGTAACAGGTGATGTGCCTCGGGTCTCTGTACATGCCTTCTGTTTGGAATGCCTCTTCTTGAAGGGAAGACATGCTAGCTTCCACCCAATGGTGAGGAAGTGTATAATGCACAATCCATGGCATGCATGGCACAGCTGGCACACTTGATGAAACCAACCATCATTCACTCCCCCACTTGGACTGACTACTGGCCCTGTTTTCTGGGGATTGTCGAGTCCTGTTGCAACTGGTCTACGACATGAAGAGGAACCCAGATGGGGAGCCACTTGCTTCAGTTCACCCAAAAGTCAGTGGCATAGCACTTACGGGCTTCCAACACAGGCTTCTTCTCCCGCCCTGGAAGCCTGCATAAAAGCCCATGCAACCTACTTCCTGATCAGTTTAAACAATCAATGGCACGGCTAGAAAACGAGGGAACTGGGCAGAAGCACAGAAACAGATCTGGGTCTTTTAACAGATCAGAGAGAAGGCAGCAGGGAGAGTCCTCTGTTTGAAGCGCTGGGCCACCTGGGGCAGCAGCCCATCGTCTGGCACCTCTCACTGAGCTAATGAGGTGAGCCTGAAGCTGTCATGGGGTGGGGACATGAGGAGCTGGGTCACAGCCTGTGCTCACACTGAAGGCCTCCAGAAACAGGTCTTCATCACCTCCAAATTCTAGAAGACTAACCTGTTTTATGTTCTTGCAGGGTCATCAACTTGTGAAAAAAACGACCCTCTTCTTTCTATGGGCATTAACATTCTTAATGTTGAAAATATTTTTATATTGCCAAGACCACAATGGGAGGGGTGCGGCGGCATCAGTCCCCCGGACAGGTGCGTAGAGTAGCACCTAACAAAGGATAAACTTGCTGGCTGGCCAAGGAGAGCCCTGCATCTGCTAGGGGAGGGTAGCTCAGACCATCAGAACACCCGGTGAGAGCTCACCGGGCACGGCCGCCTGAGGCTGACACGGTTAGCTGCACTTGTTTGGGAATTGGACATCAGAGGACAGGAAGCAGGACCTGGGCCAGGCTACCCCGAGGAGGGAAGGGGGCCAGGAATGTCTTGGAGGTCACTCATTTGTGTGCTCATTAATTCAGCAAACACACTGACACCTCGTGTGTGCTGGGCACACACCGGCCATGGTGGTCCCAGGGCTGCACAGACTGTAGCTTCCTTGAAGAGCTCAGAGACAGACCTGTAGGTGGTGCAGTTTGAACAGTGCTATGAGAAGGAGGCACAGAAAAGGCACCTCATTCAGTCCGAGGACCAGAAAAGGGATCCGGGGAGGACGAAGTTAAGCAGAGGTCTGAAGGGCGTAGGGGAGGGGCTGGCCAGAATGTTGGGGCTGAAGGTGGGGAGGTGTCCTTGCACAGTGAGCGGCACAGGCACATTCTGGAGGGGAAATGTGAAGTTGAGCAAGCGGTGGTGGTGGGTGATGAAGACTAAGAGGCAGGGGAGTGGCAGGAGATGAAGCTGGTGAGGCAGCAGGGACTGGCTAGCGAAAACAGATATGGTCCCAAATGACAAGCTAAGAAACAAGGTCTTATTATTCTGGGAATGACTGGGAGGCACCAACATGTTTAAGGAGAAGCAGACAGGACCAAATCCATGTTTCAGAATGATTATTTGAGGAGGGACTGACCCTCAAGGCAGAGACACCCATTAGCAGATTGTACTATGGTCCAGGCCAGAAATGGAGGCCAGTGGCGGCAGAGGCCTACTGGTGATCTGGAGAAGTGGACGGAGGAAATAGATTTTTAGGAAATAGGATGAGCAAGCCTTAGTGAGGGGATCAGCAGGCTGGAGGGAGGAGCCCAGAATCTTGAGATAAGGCACACCAAGAGGGTGCAGGCTGGGGTCAGTGATGAACTTAGCTCCAGATGTGCTAAGTCTTGAGGTTCCTATGGGACATCTAACTTATCAGACATTTCCTTTATGTCTTCTACGCTTTATATATTGCTTAAAAAGGCCTTCCCTATCCTGGTATTATTAGAAAGCCATTATATATTTCCTTCTAATACTTTCCATTTTTATGTTTAACTTTTTAAAACTGTATAGAGTTTATTTTGTACATGGTGAGAAACAGAAGAGCTAACTTTATTTTCTCACTAGTGGACAGCCACTTGTTCTATCA